AAAAATTTTAATATATATATATATATATATATATATATATATATATTATAAAAAAATAAATTAAAACCACAACTACTAACGGCTACCAAACACCCTATTAAATCTGACGCGGCTTTCGAGTCCTTTATTCCAACTACCAAACACCCCGTAGTAAAATTAGACGACGAAGACTTTGGAACTTTGGACGCGGTACGTAGTTAATAGTCAAATATAACTCCGAACGATCTCTTGCTATTTGCTGCTGTTTCGCAATCCACAAATGGCTCTTGATGCAAAACTTGCTCTTCTTTTGATTCATATCCTTACTGTTGCCGGCAATGGATACAGTTCTTTACAAGAGAACTACTACGGGAGTGAACATGAACACAGGAAAAAGTTGGATTCTTCTTTCAAAAGTGGGTTTGCAACAGGTTATGCATTTTCTTCAGTTTCCATTTTAGCTATTTTCATGTCCTGTTGTGTGCCTTGGGCTCGTCTTAAGAAGAGGAAGAGGAACAAGATGATGATGAAGACACCAATGATGACTTCTTTGATAGAAAGGCGAGAGAAGAGGATAAAAGAAGCCAACGAGCAGGTATCCCCATAAGACTTTCACTCCATCATTTTTTTTTTTAGTCTTTTTGATGAAGAAGACGATAGAGTTGCTTTTATTAAGGATATATCCATATTCTTCAGTTGCCATGACCATGAACAAGATGGATCATTGCAAACTGAATTAAATAGACCACATACCAAAAAATTAATTCATTACAGAAACAAGCAGAAAAGGAGAGACCTCGAGTTCATGTCCTTAAAGTAGTACCTAAACCTCAAATTAAAACCAAGCTATGAGATGTTCAACTCCTTGCCTTGATAATTGACCAGCAACGTTTATCTAGCTGAATGAATAATGAAAATGACTGGACTAAATAAGAAGTCAGCATGCTAATAGAACTCATAGTAGAGCTACACTAGCTAGATCTCGACAGCATTAGAGGTTTATTACAAGAATGCAGTAAATAAAGCAACTGGCAGTGATCCCACTCTGGATCTCCTGCGGAAGCAACGAAAGAGTTGCTTCCTCATGTGAAGAATCTGTTCCTTTTTAATATTGCATCAATTACTTGGTCTTTCCAGAACTTAGAATGCCTTTTCATATGGCGCAGCCGTTAAGGGTTTATATATATATATATAATCTTGTTTCATTTCTTCATCTTCCACAGATTTGTATGTTGGGGAATATTGTTAAGAGATTGAGTTTCGCAGGCATTAGCAAGGCAACAGCAAATTTTAGCCAAGCCAACAAAATTGGATTGGGACGAATGGGAACCATGTATATGGCTACCCTTCCTGATGGTAGGTTCCTTGCAGTGAAGAGGATAGTTGACTCTCAACAGTTTGAGGAACAGATAGTTTCTGAATTGAAAACATTGGGTACATTAAAGCATAAGAACTTACTGCCCCTGCTTGGATTCTGCGTAGAATCAAATACAAGGCTTCTGGTGTACAAGTATGTATCTAATGGAAACCTTTTTGATTGGATACATTCAGTGAAACACCGGAGGAAGACTCTGCAATGGCCTTTGAGGTTGAAAATTGCGGTTGGGGTAGCAAGAGGCCTGGCAAGGCTCCACCATGGCCGCAGAGGTCAAGTGGTGCATCTCAACATAAGCTCAAAGTGTATTTTGCTTGATAAGAATTTCGAACCTAAGTTATCAAATTTCGGAAAGGCGAAGCTGATCATGAGTATGAGTAACAGTCCAGGAGTGCATGATGAGTTTTGTGAGATGGCGCTTGTTAAGGAAGATGTGCACAGATTTGGAGTTGTACTGCTTGAGCTGATTACTGGGATGGATTGTAGCAGAATGAATTTTTCCTCAAACAATATTCTTAATGAATGGATTGGTCATCTCTTGAGCAATTCTTATTTTTATGATGCCATGGATAGGTTTCTGATTGGGCAAGGTTTTGATGATGAGATCTTTCAGCTGCTTAAAGTTGCATGTAACTGTCTTGATTGCATTCCAGATCGAAGGCCGACAATGTTTCAAGTGTACAAGGACATAAATTCAATAACCAAGAGATGTGAAGTGGTTGATGATTCAGAGATCCAAATGCAGCCTGAAATTTGCCCAGCTACTTCTCATGACTAATCTGTTGCCAGCAAAAACAGGGCCGAAGTTAGCAGATCTATATGTTCCTGTTTCTATCATGTTCATAAACCAATATGTAAGAAGCAATATTGTATAGAATATAATTGTGTCCGGGAATAAGTTGCCAGCATTTTACTTTGTTATTCAAACAGAAGATCAATTTGATCAAAATACGCCGATGAGTGAAAATGGTTTGGATAATACTTCCTGATCTTGTGTTGCAAGTCAAGATCAATGGATTCAATTCTTCCAGCTTAGAATAACCAATTGAATTTGTGATTAAATATATATTATACAAATATTAGCAGAGCTCTGTGTCAGATGGTATCACCATGCTTCTTAAGAAAAGATTGTTGTTGCATCTCTTGTATCTAGAAATGTCTCAAGTAAAAAAATAAGCTTATCAAGATCAACCATCTATCTCGTGTAAAAAAATAAAGTAAAATAATTGCCGTAGCTGACAAGGTTCATTGCATAGAAAACAAAATATCCACGGGTAGCAGTAGAGTCACAAAACTATACTACAATTGTCTCCTGCCTAACCTTTAGCTTGTGTCGATGGTCAATATTAACTGCGAGGAAGCATCATCCATAATCCATATTTTCACTCGAATATTTTTCTTACCTGAAAGTTGTGATCTATTGGTCATATATATTTATAATCCCAATTCAAATTAATGTGTTATCTGTTGCTTTCCCTTTCTTCTGCGACACGGCTTTCAAGTTTAATAATTTCCAACCTAGGTAGCTTGAAAACTTCAAAGCAACCTACTTCGTTTTTTCTGTTCCTTTTCATTTTACCTTAAGTAAGATCAGTGCTAGCTACAAACTCTCCAAGAATGGCCACTAGTCAGAACAGAGCTCATTCAGTACTGATCTTTGTGTTGTTTTGTATATCTAGTGTAAGTAGTGCAACTGAGCCTGATGTTTATTGCTTGAAATCTATTGAAGATTCCTTGGAAGACCCTTACAATCATTTCTCTTCAATTCATTGGAAGACCCTTACAATCATTTCTCTTCATGGGACTTCGCCAATCTTCATCTGTAGGTTTGCGGGAGTCGACTGCTGGAAGCCTGAGGAGAGCAGAGTCTTAAATCTAGCACTCTCTAACATGGGGCTCAAGGGCCAGTTCCCTCCTGGCATCGAAAACTGCACAAGCTTAAATGGTTTGGACCTTTCAAGAAATGAGCTTCAGGGACCGATTCCATCTGACATCTCTAAAGGGCTACCATACATCACTAACCTTGACCTATCCTTCAACAACTTTTCTGGTGAAATCCCATCAAGTATTGCCAATTTATCTTTCTTAAATGTTCTAAAACTAGACCATAACCAACTAATAGGAAATATCCCACCAAAAATTGGCCTTCTCCATCGACTTAGGAACTTCAGTGTGGCGGACAATCTGTTGTCAGGTCCAGTGCCAGAATTTGTTAAAGCAAATTCTGCATGTGGTGTTTTTTGCCCAATTGGTGGTTTTTCTTCATCCACAAATGTGAATTATGCAAACAACCCTGGCCTATGTGGAGGGCCTTTAGATCCTTGCAAAGGGCATAGCAACGAATTTTATTCTTCTTTCAGAACTGGGTTTGCAGCTGGTTATACTGTTTTTTCTGTTTCAGTCATTGTTGGTTTTGGGTTTGCAGCTGGTTATACGGTTTTTTCTGTTTCAGTCATTGTTGGTTTTGTGTCCTGCTGTGTGCCATGGGTGCATGTCAAAAAAATAAATAAGAAGATTACGATACAAACGATGGTAATGCTGGTTTTGAGAAAGAACAGGAAAGAAGCTGATAATTTAAGTGCTTCGCCATCGGTTGAGAACGTATATGGAGGAGGCAAAGAGGTACTGACGATATGATTATGTGCATGTCAACTTTGAGTGGTTTGCTTTTGAAATTGATTGCAGGACTTTTTGCTTTTCCTTTTGTCCTGTTATTAGACTTTCCTAATTATCTCTTATGAGTTTTGAGTTAACTATTCTTCTGCAGTTACATGAAGTCTTAATTTACAGATAATCCTAAATTCTTTAACCTGCTTCAATTTCAAGGTAAATACTTGTGTTTCTTCAACAATTAGTGAGTAATGGATTGGGAATTTCTGTCCTCAGATTTCTATGTTGGAGAAGAAGGTTCCAAGAATGAGCTATACAGATCTTAAAGATGCAACAAATAATTTCAGCGAAAACAATGTCATCGGGCAGGGGAAGATTGGGATGCTGTACAAAGCAGCGTTGCCTAGTGGTTATCTCTTTGCAGTGAAGAAATTACACAACTGTCGAATCCTCGAGGAGCAATTCGTGTTAGAATTGAAGACACTTGGTTCATTGAGGCATGTCAACTTACTTCAACTTTTGGGATTTTCAATCACATCAAAAAATTGGCTTCTGGTTTACAAATACATGCCAAATGGTAACCTTTATGATTGGCTACATCCAATGGAAGGCCAGGCAAAGATCATGGAATGGACTGTGAGGTTTAAAGTTGCAATCGGGTTAGCAAGAGGCTTGGCATGGCTCCATCAGGACTGCAGTAGTACTATCCGAGTTTTCCATCTTAACATAAGCTCAAAGTGCATCTTACTTGATCAGGATTTCGAGCCAAAGTTGTCGAATTTTGGGGAGGCGATAATCGTAAATCCAACTAACACTTCCTCCGTGAATGGTGAGTTTTGGGATACAGCATTTGCTAGGGAGGATGTGTATGGATTTGTAGTTGTGCTCCTTGAGCTGATTACAGGGGTGGATTCTAGCAGAATGACTGGTTCCTCGAACAGTCTTCGTAATGAATGGATTAGTCATCTTTTGACTAGTTCTAAGATTTATGATGCCATTCATAAGTCTCTGGTTGGGCAAGGATTTGATGATGAGATATTTCAGCTGCTTAAAGTTGCATGCCAATGTGTTGATTCCATTCCAGATCGAAGACCAACAATGCATCAAGTGTACAAAGACATAAGAGCAATGAGGGAGAGATGTCGCCAAATTGATGATTCAGAGATTCTAGTGCAGCAGCATGAAATTTACCCTCCCAGCTCAAAGGGCAAATCTGTTGAGATTGAAATGGCATAGAGTCAATGGAAACAGGAAAAACAGGACAAATTTAGGCAACTCTATCATGTTTTGGTATAATAAACAAGTATGTAAGAAGCAATGGTGCTGTTTGAGAACAAGCTTCAACTATCTATCCAAATTCAAGGTACTGCAAATGTGACTACAAATATTTCAAACTAGTCTCTTTTCTGGGGACTTGAAAAAAACCTCGGGATACAGCTTAAAGTATTGTAAACAACTACGTCCAAATTGTCCCAAAAGTCTTGAATATTTTCTATTGCTTTGGACTACATATTGTGTATTCAATTGACTCTTAAACAAGGGCATATTGCAACCTTGTAGACCATCAGCAACATTTTTCAACCATTTTGTTTTACAACAAATTAATTTAAGAACATTAGCAAAAAGCATGGCTAGTGATCATAGAGTTGGTGGTGAAGAAGCGATGAGCAAGAAGCAAGTGATTCTCAAGGACCGTGTGAGTGGCTTTCCAAAAGAATCAAACTCGTACGTACGTGACGACATGTAGCTAGCATCAAACTAGAAGCACCAGAAGAAGAAAGTGGAAAAGATGCTGTGGTGGTTTACAATCTCTGTTTGTCTTGTGATCCTTCCATGCGCGGAGGCATGAAGAAAGATCTACCACCTGGTAAACAACCTCATGTTTTGAGCTCCAGCCAGCGCTGGAACTTCACCGATCTGTTGGTCAGCAAGGTTCCTAAGAATTTGGATTTTTTTTCCAAGAAGAAAACAAGTAGCAAACGACAAGCACAAGCAACAGTAGCCAATATTTTCTCTGAAAGTAAAGTAGTGAGGTTGCCCAGGAATGATCCGTCTCCCATTGCATATCTTCTGGGCAATGCCATCTTGTGCCATTAGCACTAGCAGTAAAACTAACAATATCCCTGTGTAGGAAAACAGTACAGACAAACATCCTTGATGCAGATTACGGTAAGTTTCCATTTATTTGATGGGCTCATGTTCTCAAAATTTTGAGGCCATCCTTTCAAATCGATAATATTCAGCTCACATAAATTTGATTACGGTAGGTCTCCATTTATTTGATAGACCCATGTTTTTAATATTTTGAGGCCATCCTTTCAAATCGATAATATTCAGCTCACATAAATTTTTTTGATATTGTTTTTATAATTGTTCTGATTTTTTAATCAAGATAGTTTTTTTTTTATTAACATATACTTTGTTTATATTAATATAAATACTAGTTTTATAACTTGAATAATTGTTTTTATTTTTTTTTGATATTGTTTTTATAATTGGTCTGATTTTTTTATCAAGATAATTTTTTTTATTAACATATACTTTCTTTATATTAATAAAAATACTAGTTTTATAACTTGAATAATTGTTTTTATTTAAAAAAACATATAATGTTTATTAAAATAAGTTAATAAAAACATATTAAAATAATATGTGTGTGATTCAAAGTTAAAAAATCCTTAAATGTGATAAATCATGTCTAAAACCTATTTATAAAATTAAATTTTTTTAAATCTATTAGTAGTAATAATAATAATAAAAAATTAAAAAAACATTTTTTTGACTTGAATAAAAAGACTACTAAATCAAAAATGCATTTGTGGACTCAAGGTGTTAAATAAAGAAATCTATTTATAAAATTTAAAAATAAATTTTTTTTTAAAATTTATTAGTAGTAATAGTAATAATAATAATAATAATAAAAGATTAAGAAAGCATTTTTTGACTTGAATAAAAAGACTACTAAATCAATAATGCATCTTTAATTTCTTTGTGGACTCAAGGTGTTAAATAAAGAAATAAAAAATAAAGTTATGAAAATTTTACTTGATTTTTAAGAATTTAATTCCTAAATCATTGATAAAGAGTTAAATTTAATGATTTTTCACACCATCTTTTATCTCAATAGCATCTTTGTTCATGGAATATTCAGCTAAAATTAACACACAAAATTCCCATTTAATGTTTGCTACGCAGTCGTCAATAAATAAATAAAAAGTATTCAGTGCAAAATCATTTTAGTGTAATAATTCATTATGAATGAGGTTTTCTCACCCTAACATGTTTTCTCTATATTTAAATGATTAAAATTCTTGTTAATACTTATTATAATTATCATCATCAAATTAAATAAAAATAAATCTTCAAAACATAGATATGAAAACTGACAGGGTTTTTACTTTAAATGATATGGAAGCAATCATTAAAAGGAATTGATATGAAAGTTGAGGAAGTTTTCCTTCTTGATTTTTTTCTCTTTTAATTAGTTTAATCTTCAAAATTACAATCGAAAATAATTATTAAATAATTAAAATTGCTGGGATAAAAAATTTAATCTCAATCGTGCAAATATTTCTATTGAAAAAAAAACAAGAAAAAAGGAAGAGAAATAAGTCTAGAATTATTAAACTTTTTTGACTAATTTGTTTTCCCACACATTCGTGGAAATTGTTAGGGCCATCCATTCGCTCTCGACGTACTGTCCCATCATGAACTTGGAATTTGATGCAGGAGACTTGGCTTCTTGACTTGAAGAAGTAGACTAACAAATCAATGCATCTCCTCGACGTGTTCAATTAATGATCTCTAGACTAGCAAAATGCTGTAGAAAATCAAGAGCTTCTAGACTTTGTTAGCTTAAACTTTGAATGATCTCTTGTTCTCTTTTTATCTAACAAAATGCTGTAGAAAATTAAGAGCTTCTAGACTTTGTTAGCTTAAACCTTGAATGGTCTCTTGTTATTTGCTGCTGTTTTGGTATCTACAAAATGGCTGTGGGTGGTGCAAAACTTGCTCTTCTTTTGATTCATATCCTTGGTGTTGCCGGCAATGGACACAGTTCTCTACAAGAGAACTACTACGGGGGTGATGATCATGAACATCGGAAAAAGTTGGATTCTTCACTCAAAAGTGGGTTTTTAATAGGTTATGTCTTTTTTTCCGTTTCCATTATAACTATTTTCATGTCCTGTTGTGTGCCTTGGGCTCGTCTCCTCAAGAGGAAAGGGAATGAGGTGATGATGAAGACACCAATGATGACATCTTTGATGGAAAGGCAAGAGAAGAAGAGAAAAGAAGCCAACGTGCAGGTATCCCCATAAGATTTTCATTTCATCATCATATTTTTAGTTTCTTGCTAGTTTTTTTTTTTAATTATTATTATTATTATTATTATTATTACTATCATTATTAAAACTGTAGTTGCTTGTATTAAGGATAAATCAATATTCTTCAGTTGCCAAGACCATGGATCGTTGCAAACTTAATTGAATAGATCACAGACCAAAACATTAACTCATTACTGAAATAGCCAAAAAAAAAAAGAAACCTCTAGTCTAGTCCACGTACTTAAATTAAAGTTTTTTTATCCATTTAACAATTCTATTATAACTAGCACCGTCTTAATAATAAATATCTTTGCAACAACCGATAATTCACTTTGATTTATGTTTCTATCCCATAATAATTTATCATAATCTGTTCAAAGATTAAAAAAATCATGTCATATTTGTATTAGACTCTTCATTTATAATTAAAAATTCACCTACATAACCCTAATTTATTTTCATCACATCTATAACTATATTCCTTTAAGGATTACTATTATTATCTACAATTCCATGCACATTACTAAAGTTAGAAATTGATTTAACCATCCATTTTACTACAGTCTCGTGAGGAACATATTATTCTTCATATGAAAACCAACACAAGTAATTTTTTTTTTTATAAACTATGGATCGTTACAACATCTAGATCAATTTTTGTTTTTTTACTCCTCTTATAGGAACATTTAATATTGTTTTCCATAATATTTTTTGAATTAGATAATGCATAATTAATAAAATCCTAAATCTCATTACAATAATCAATCATTCACAACCCTTAAGATAAATCTTGATACATTCATGAATAATCATCCATTACTTATATCAAATCTATATAGAATATTGTTGATAACATGTATTAATTAATTATGTAAATTAAATAAATTTGCAAATATTAGTTTAACTCAAACTTATTCAATTTATTTTGAATAGTCCTCTTAATTCATTATTAATTATTTACATAAATTAAAATTGCTATATATTTAATGAAAATTTTAAATCAACAATAAATTGACAAAACATAAAACGATCCTGTTAAATATACTATTATTCATTTAATCACAAAACACTTACATCATAAATTCAAAATAAATTTTGTTAATTTACAAACAAATATAATTTTATAAAATTTCAAATAAACCCTAACATGTACAAATTATACATTCATAAAACAAATTTCAATGGGAAAAAATTTATAAAACAAATAAACATCTAAGCAAAATATATATACTACAAAAATATATAATAAAAATTAATATTTTAAAACTTACTTCAAATAAAAAATATATAGTTTTGCTTACTTGATTGAAGTAAGAAATCCTTAATAAAACTTGAATTAGAATATGAATGTTGACAAACTAAGAGTTTGACTGATTGAATTTATAGTGAAAGTTTGATTTGAAAAAACATTAGGGGGTGTGCTGTTTGTTGTGGAGAAAAATAGAGGAAGAAGAAGAAATGAGAAAGGGAGAGAGAAGGGTTGTTCGTTAGATTATAAATTAAATATTACAGATGACTTTATCGATGAAATTAACCCGTTTGTAATTCTATATGTAAAAATGACATGTTATCGTATCTTTTGAATTTTTTTGAATTTTGTTTATTATAATTCTTTAGTTCATATTGAAAAAATATTTTTATCGGTGTTTATTGATTGATATATAAAGAGAATACTTTATTGGTAAAGTTCATTACAATCTATTAACAAAAAAATTATGTTGGTATTTTTGTTTATATTTGATAATTTTTTTTTGCAATGACAAGAAACATTTTTAATTATAAACAGTAATTTCTAGGTGGAAACCAACCCTAGACTTAGTGGTTCGTTTGAAATTTTATTACTTAATGTTTTTTTTAATCAAAAAATTATCACCTCTATTCTATTCAAAATTTTCCATGTAATTAAAATTTGTAAAAGAAAAGTTTCATTAATATTAGTAAACTAATCAAATTAACATAATAATAATAATAATAATAATAATAATATTTAAGTTAATATATCCTTAAACCTTCCAAACTATGCATAAATCACAGGTTTTCATTCAGGATGTTTGAAAATTTGACTCCATTGAAACAATAAAATTTCTATTGATGATTTCATCGTCAATGTTATGGTTCTAACACTCTTAATGTTTGTAAACTTGAAATTACATTCATTAACTAAAATTAATTTTTTTAAAATATTATAAACATGTCGTTGTTAAAGGAAAATAAACTTACATTGAAAGGTTATTCTTTC